CTCTTCTATACTTGCCAGAGCCTAGTAAAGTGAAGGAAAGTTTCTCCATAATTCTGTTTTTAATCATTCATAATAAATGTGTGCAAGGAACAACACTAGTTGGGTATTGGCAGCATTAATCCAAGATCTGACCTACCAACCTCTGACTCTTCTAATAACTTTAGACACTATAGCTGAGATATACATGGAACTGAGCATCCAAATTAGTCAATATCTCAGTCTATTATTACACCAGAGGCTCTATCTCTTTATCCTTATTCCAGTCAGGTACCTAGCTAGAGCTTTGTGAATCCAAAACTTGCCTCAGGTCAACAAAAGGTCTGGAGATTTGTAAACCTGGGGCAGATCTCTGCAAATGCTTAGTCCTTCCTCTCAGGAAATTTTGGAGCAAGGAGGTGTTTTTGTTGGGGTTAAAACAATACTAAACTCTGCATTGTTGAAGGATTTTGCCTTATCTTTCTGTCGATTCATCATGACTAAAATCTTAAAGAGGGAAGAAACAAATTCAGAGTAGAGGGTCTTATGTGACTTGAAATCAAGAATGTTAATGGAATTCCAAGATTCTTAAAGATGATGTCTATTCTTGCAGAACAGCAATAACTCAGATCTGTCTCAGGGCTGTCTACACAATTGGGTAAACTGCATAATTTCTAAACTGCACTAACATGTTCATTAATTGAGCTGTGTTGACTCTGCTGGTTCTCTATTGCGTGTTAACATAGTGCAGTATTACAGTTCATGATAGGTGCTAGTCACATAGCTCAGGGGTGTGCAACCTGTGGGTCACCACCCAAGGGGGTCGCAGTGCTTTGATCTGGGCTGGCCGATATTTTCTTTTCCCAGCTTGGCACCCAGCATACACGGTCGGAGTGGGGGGAGTGGCAGAGGAGCAAACCATTGCTTTAAAGTAAAGAGACCTTAACAAAATGTTCCCAGCTTTTTTGGGAGGGGGAGGGGGCTCAACAAAAAATGTCCCAGTTCCAAGGGGTCACGAATGAAAAAAGGTTGACTATCACTTACATAGCTTAATGCACTAATGGAAGGCTGTCAGATACTACAGTGATTAGCATTGCATGGACCCTAAATATGATAAAATAGAAATGTAGCTGTGGACTATAGTTTACTGGGGATACAGCTACACTGCAGGCTTCTTGCACAAGAATGACCATTCTTGCGCAAAACCTTGCAGAGCATCTACACTGCATGTGCATTCTTGCGCAAGTAAATTTATAGTAAGGCATCGGAACAGAGGGCTTCTTGCGCAAGAATTATTCCTCTCCCCACGAGGAATAAGTCCTCTTGCGCAAGAGCTCTTGTGCAAGAAGGCAGTGTGGACAGGCAACAGGGGTAAAGTGCACAATTCTTGAGCAAGAAACCCCCTATGGCTAAAATGGCCATCAGAGCTTTCTTGTGCAAGAGAGCATCCACACTGCAATGGACACTCTTGCACAAAAGCACATGGCTGTGTGGATGCACTCTTGTGCAAAACCTTTTGCACAAAACAGTTCTTGCGCAAGAAGCCTGAATTGTAGACATAGCCCAGGGTTTTGTTGCTTTTGCTTTCACTGACAAGGCCATGAAGCATGCATGAGGAGCAATGAAGGGGCATAAAAATGTACGTGCTTGCCTTAATAGTGATACTTTATAGTCATCTGAGTTGAGGACATTGTGAAGTTTTTGGCTTTAATCTGGAAAAGCCCTATGTATGTTACTGGAAGTAATAAACCTGTTGTAGATGACTAATTTCTATAGTTCAATTCTCTCATTCCCTCCCCTCCTGTCTATTTCTGTTTTGTTTTGTTTTGTTTAGCTGTGGAGGGGCTCCCTGCCCAGGGTTATTATAGACATCTGTCGAGACAGGATGTAATTTATATATGACCAAGAAGCATTTTTATATGCACTCAAACTATTTGGACAAAATTACTTTCCTAAATTCTATGTGGATTTTTATGATGAGGTTTACAATGAGCTCATTTAGTTTCATTGTTAGTTAGGTTCCTTATTGCAAAAAGTAATAAAGTGCATTTAAGGAGGATTTAAGGTTTTATTCTGAACCCCCAAGCTATAATTTTTTCTCTGTGTTTATATCACACCTATTGGATAGTTTGGTAGTTCAGGTATTGACCTTAGACTAAAAAGACCTGGGTTGAGTTACCTGCAAAAGCTAGCCATAGCTGGCCTCCAGGAAAACTTGTGGCAGTCCTTTCACCTTGGCTTATGATCACACGCAATGAGAGGGCTCAGTGCTTAGATGGCAGACATCCAAAGGAAACCCAAAGTGACATGGTGTTTTCAGCATGTGACTTTTTCTCTTAGTTAGTATTGAATCAAAACTTCAGCCTTTTCTGAGAGTGCAGTGTCTTGCAGGAGCTGCTTTTCAGACAAGACATGGAGCCAAGTCTGCTCCTGACTAGAGCTGTGCAAAACACTTGCATCAGAGCTCAAAGCCAGCTGAAAGGAGTCTTGGGCTGGGGGCTAAGAACCCATGCTAACTGAGATTTGGCAAACATAGGCTGATACTGGTTGTGTACTGATCAATAGATAGGAAGCTAGTGAGAGCCAGCTAACATTTTAGTGGCGGGTAAAATGGTTCATTTTTATATAAGTATGTAAGGCACACTTGGAATGGTGCTTAGATGAAAAGTAGACAAAGATAGATTACATAGAAAGGCAACATATACATATGATATTTTTTCAGCAATAACAGTCTGTACCTGGCAGGGGAGATACCATGATCACAAAGGTTTTCCCAGAGCGAGGCTCATCCATTGCTCTGCGGGTGTGCTGATCTCTGTGATTTCCCGAAATGTGGGAAACTCGACTGCATAATTTGTGGTATTCTTTTTACAAACACAAATACAATAACAGAAATATTAGGACTTTCATAATAACTTGTTATAGGACACTCTGCTCTCCACTGGAGCATCTCCTTCTGGCAGTCTCTGGGATTAGCTCTTCCAGTCCATGTCTCTTCCTTCAGTAGTCTGTTCCAGTTTCACTCTTGCAGTCTTGCTCTTCAGCTGCTCCTGATTTGAGGCTCGGCCTTCCTGGCCAGTTCACTGTCAATCTCTTTTCAAGGTCTCAAAGTCTTTTGGGACCCACCATCCCCGGCAGTCTTTCCACTTACTGCCCCTTAACAGCATCACTGCCCATTGACTGGTAAGGGAACTCAGGCTCATGGTCTGCACAATCCTAAACCATACTGGTACTTGCGGTACTTTGTATGTGGTCTTCTCTCATCCTGACACTTCTACTCTCAGCTACAGGGCTTTATCCAAGCCCTTCATGTTCCTCTCCAGGTGAGAATCTTCACTGCTTCCTGGCTGCAGCCTAGGTAGTTAATTGGCCCATCTAACCCCCTCAACGCCTTCATGCCTTCTGTGGAGTGGGAATCCCATCACAGAACTGTATGCAGGTAGTTACTGGGAAAAGAGGGCTTCTGAGGGCTTCTGAAGTGGGTTGGGGCTTGCTTGAGCTTTCCCCAACACTAAGAAGAATCAGGTAAACACTTATAAATTATAAGAATAAGCGCTGGGTTCAGACCTCAGCTGAGTTACTCTACTATGTTGCTCCTGGGCAGCCTAACATCACGTATTATTTTAGCAGCCTGTAAATACTATAAACTGTTACCAAAGTCTTCTTTGTTTTGACCACACACAGCAAGTCTCCTTACAGTCCGCTATCTTGTTTGTGTGCACTCATCTTAGGTTTTATTCCTCTTAGCACTTCATGCCATTATTTCCCCCAAGACATATGTTTTCAGGAAGCAGTTAGTCTATACACTTTCCTTTTAATTGCTTCTGTCTGTCTGCAGAGCCTCTTTACTGCAGCACTGAGCTGCAAGGGTTGCTTCCTTGGCTTTTTACAATTCAAGCAGCGTTCTCAGGTCACTTTTATTAAAGAAACGCAATAATCAATATGAAGATTTTGTGCAATTTTTTAGTACAAGAATGTTCCAGAACCTTCCGCTGAATTTAGTGGGACTAGTTGTGAGTGAAGATACTCACATGTGCAAGTGTTTGTAGTGTTTCACTTCTAATCAGGAAGGAATGCTTGATTTTTGTGTGTGCCATTTGAGAATATTAGATTGGGAAAAACAAAGGTTTCTGGTTATTGCAATGTAAAAGCTGGTATCCTTCTCTGTAAAATAATGTCACACTGATGCTCGAGGCCCTGCAATAACTAGAGAGAAGAGGCATAATGGTCATAGGATTACAGGTACAATACCTGTACCAGCACTCACATAACCAGCTCCTCATTTACACGATGAGTTTTTTTTTTTTAAGTTTAAAAATTAGTATGGCTAATGTATTTTTAAGCTATGACTAAGATTGGAAACTTGAGTAGCAATGGATATTATTCTGTGCTGTGCATGTCCCAGTTTCTTATAAGCCATCCTGCATTAGCCCCACTTCACCACCACCCAGGAGCCACCTGAGGTAGGCAGTGTCCAGCTGGATCCAGCTAGAGCCAGAATCCCAAACCACTGCCCCAGTCATGAACCCCCCTGCTGCAACCCAACCTCCTGCCCTAGCCCTGAGCCCCTTGGGTCCAAACTCCCTTACACTGAACCCCTCCTTCACCCCAATTCCCTGCCCCAGGCTCAGCTTAGGACCCCTCTCACACTCCAGATCCCTTAGCCCAAGACCAGAGCCTCTCCCCTATCCCTTTGCCCCTGCCTGGTGAAAGAGAGGAAGAATGGGGGAGGGAAGACGGAGTGACCAGGGGTAGGGCCTCAGAGAAGGGGTACAAAGGAGATGGGACAAGGGTATCTGGGTCTGAGGTAGATCCTGGATTGCACTTAAATTCAGAAAGTAATCTCATTGCTTAAAAAGGTTGGAGATCTCTGCTTTAAGCAGTCATAGCTCCAGTTATTTCAGCTGAAGATCTGCTCCCACACGCATATTTGGTGCATATTTGATGCATGAACTCGAGGATGGCTGATGCTTTTTAATCCTTCCTGTTTCTTATTTGCAACATCTCTCATTTGCTTCCATCAGGAGTCACATTTTCCTTTTTCTGGAAGACTCGGGAGCCGCAGTCTAACTTTCCCCCAGCCTATGGAGGACAAGTCATTTCCAGTGGTTTTAAAATCTGCTCAAGTGAAGATGAAGGCTCTGTGGAATTTTATGCCCGTGGGAATTCAATGAAGTGGGAAGCAAGTTTTAGTCCTCCTGGTAAAGTTTATTTTTACTGTTGACAATTCAAAATGGAGATACTGTAGTGATAAGCATAACACCTGTATCTAGACAGAAACTAGCACCTGTATCTAGACAGTGTATGTCTACACTGCATTCCTCTTTCAAGAGAGGAATGCAAATGCAGCTGAATGAAATTGCAACTGAAGCACAGATTTGAATTTCCTGTGCTTCATTTGCATAATTGTGTCCAGCCAATATTTTGAAATACCCTATTTTGAGATAAAAAACGCCATGTAGATGCGGTTATTGGGAAGGAAAACCTTTCTTTCAAAATGACCCTTACTCCTTAAAAAATGAGGTTTAATGTTTATTTCGAAAGAAGGGGATTCTTTCATAAGAAATGAGGAAGTAGATGAATATGTGAAAGATGGGGAGGCTTCACTTCCCAGAAGAGAAAGCACATGTTAGAACAACTTTGATACTGTGTACAGCACAATTACAATTTCAGTAACTATCCAAGGATCTGACCACTACATTCCTCCGTTGCAATAAGTAAAATCCTTATTGACACAAGTGTTGGCGTTTACCTGAAAAAGAGTGAGGGTATGTCTACAGTACAGCGCTAATTCGAACTAATGGATCCAGACTAAAAAACTAGTTTGAATTAGCGTTTTGCTAATTCGAACTAGCATGTCCACATTAAGTGGACCCTAAACCGGGGTTAAGGATGGCCGGAAGCAGTGCCGGCAGGGCATCAGAGTAGGACTTAGAGAGTGGAGCTGCTGCCTCAGGCTAGTCGAGGGCTGTGCTTAAAGGGACCCGAACCCCACCCCGGACAGACAGTTCTCAGGGGTGCCCCGCTTGCAAAGCAGTCCTGTCTTGGAGTGCCCTGAGTGCCCACACTGGGCACATCACAGCACTCGGCCATCAGCCCGGCTGCACTTGCCGCAGGCTGCCATCTGGGGAGAGAGGGCAATTGGGGGGCTGCAGGAGAGCTTCCACCCCCAGAAGCCCGCAGAGCCAGCCCAGTCCTCCCCATCGGGGGCTTGTACCCCATTCCTCCCTCACCTCCTTCCACTTACCCTTCCCTAGCCTCCCTTCCCGATGTACAAAATAAAGAAAACGTGTGATCAAAAATAGAATCTCTCTTTATTGAACAAAACTGGGGGAGACTGGGAAAAGGAGGTGGGAAAGGGGAAGAGAGAGGTTGGGAGAGGGGAGGGCAACTAAAATGATCAGAGGTTTGGAAGAGGTCCCATATGAAGAGAGGCTAAAGAGACTGGGACTTTTCAGTTTAGAAAAGAGGAGACTGAGGGGGGATAGGATAGAGGTCTATAAAAGCATGAGTGGGGTGGAGAGAGTGCATACAGAAAAGTTCTTCATTAGTTCCCATAATAGAAGGACTAGAGGACACCAAAGGAAAGGAATGGGTAGCAGGCTTCAAACTAGTAACAGAAAGTTGTTCTTCACAAAGCAAAGAGTCAACCTGTGCAACTAATTGCTGCAGGAGGCTGTGAAGGCTACAACTAGAACAGAGTTTAAAGGGAAGTGAGACCAAGTCATGGAGGCTGGGTCCATGGAGTGGTATTAGCCAGGGGGTAGGAGTGGTGTCCCTGCCCAAAGTTTGTGGAAGGCTGGAGAGGGATGGCACGAGACAAATGGCTTGGTCACTGTCTTTGGTCCATCCCCTCCAGGGTCTTTAGGGTTGGCCACTGTCGGCAGACAGGCACCTGGGCTAGATGGACCTTTAGTCTGACCTAGGACGGCCATTGTAAGCTCAGGGCTCAGGGTCAGGGGTCTCAGTGGACCACCTT